CTCCAAGATGTGCCCATATTCTGTGTACTCTTAGAGACACGAAGGCTGTCTTGATTAGATGACCTCCGTACACACCGTGATATCCACAATGTGAAGGAAGGCCTTCTGCTCTGTCTAATCTGACTAACAAATTAACAGTGCACATGATGTATAAATAATAAAAAAAATAATAATAAAAAAAAAAAATAAATAATAAAAAAATATAACAGCGGTCTCCTCTGTTCCTGACGTGGAGCCGCAGTCGGCGGTCTCCTCTGTTCCTGACGTGGAGCCGCAGTCGGCGGGCCCCTCTGTTCCTGTCCAGGGGCCGCAGTCGGCGGGCCCCTCTGTTCCTGAACCGCGGTCGGCGGTAATCACTGAGACTGTTCCTGAGCCGCGGTCGGCGGTAGCCTCTGGGGGTGTTCCTGAGCCGCGGTCGGCGGTAGCCTCTGGGGGTGTTCCTGAGCTGAGCCGCGGTCGGCGGTAGCCTCTGGGGGTGTTCCTGAGCCGCGGTCGGCGGCCACCTCAGAGCCTGTTCCTGAGCCGCGGCCGGCGATCCCTCCTGCTCCGGTTCCAGAGCCGCAGTCGGCGGCCACCTTAGAGCCTGTTCCCGAGCCGCAGCCGGCGATCCCTCCTGCTCCGGTTCCAGAGCCGCAGTCCGCAGTCCCCTCAGAGACTGTTGCTGAGCTGCTGAAACGGAGACGTTGTCCTCCCCCAAGGTTCCTGCGGCTGCGTCTGAGGCGGCGTCCCCGAAGTTTCCTTCGTCAGAGACGGCGTCGCCGTCGGCGTCCTCCAGAGACCCTCCTTGGTCAGAGACGGCGTCGGCGTCCTCCAGAGACCCTCCTTGGTCAGAGACGGCGTCGGCGTCCTCCAGAGACCCTCCTTGGTCAGAGACGGCGTTGGCGTCCTCCAGAGACCCTCCTTGGTCAGAGACGGCGTCGGCGTCCTCCAGAGACCCTCCTTGGTCAGAGACGGCGTCGGCGTCCTCCAGAGACCCTCCTTGGTCAGAGACGGCGTTGGCGTCCTCCAGAGACCCTCCTTGGTCAGAGACGGCGTCGGCGTCCTCCAGAGACCCTCCTTGGTCAGAGACGGCGTCGGCGTCCTCCAGAGACTCTTCCTGGCCTCGCGGCCGCCCTCCAGAGACTCTTCCTGGCCTCGCGGCCGCCCTCCAGAGACTCTTCCTGGCCTCGCGGCCGCCCTCCAGAGACTCTTCCTGGCCTCGCGGCCGCCCTCCAGAGACTCTTCCTGAGTCTCTCCAGAGACTCTTTCGGGCCTCGCGGCCGCCCTCCAGAGACTCTTTCGGGCCTCGCGGCCGCCCTCCAGAGACTCTTTCGGGCCTCGCGGCCGCCCTCCAGAGACTCTTTCGGGCCTCGCGGCCGCCTTCCAAAGACTCTTCCTGGCCTCGGGCCTCGCGGCCGCCCTCCAGAGACTTTGTTTGCCCTCGGCCACCTTGGGTGGGTTGTTTTGGTTTTTGTTTGGACTCTGCGTTTGGTTTTGTATTTCGTGCCCTCCTTCCTGGTTCCCCCTCCGCCCACCCAGGGTGGGTTATTTTTTTTGTTTCTGGACATTTTAGGGCGTCTGGGATCCGCCCTTAAGTGGGGGGCACTGTCATGGTCTTGGTTCTGCTGTTCTTTACTTTGCTCCTTGTTTTCTAGATTTATTGGTTTAATTCCAGTTTTGTTGTATTTCTAGATTTATATTAGTTCTCATGTTTTTCTGTTGTCCTCTTTTGCCCTCTTGTGTGTGTATGTTCCTTTCCCCTTGGCTCCCTCGTTGTCTCCTCTCACACCTGTTCCTTGTCTGCTCGTTAGCCCTCCCTTTGTCTCTCTCTCCTATATATGCTCTCCCTCTGCTCTCACTCTTTGTTGGTTCCTTGTCTTTGCTGTCCTCCCGTGCTGTTGTCCACGTTCCTCGTCTCTCCCTGGCTCCTCGTGTTTGGTTTTCCCCAGATGTCTCCATAGTTCTGGTTTGGTTTTGATTATTAGTTGGATTTTTGCATTCCTGCCTTTGTTACTGTTTTTGCCCCATTAAACTACCCAGAAATCTCCTCAGCCTGTCTGCCTCTGCATTTGGGTCCTCCAAACCACAACCAAACCCTGACAAACAGTATGATTTCAGTATTGAAGTAAAATTTATTTCACCCATTCATGAGTTGTGAAGTACTGTTGGAGGGACTGGAGGCTGACGAAAATTCTCGTATCTGTGGGATTTCTAGTGGTAAGGTACTAAACAGGAAATAGGCATGCTGTCGTCAAGCAGGTCAGGCTGCCTGCAGCAGATAAAGAGAACTCCTCCCCCTGTCCCCTACCGTTAATTCAGGAGCTTCAAAAGCAACAAAATTTCAAAAAAATCAAAGACCAGAAGTTTGGAGATGTGAATTGGAAAGGTCTAACCTTACCAGCAGTCCTGTGCTCTCACCTCAGTTTAGCTCTGGTTGCTTAGCAATTGTGAGAGCCTGAGGCATAGACCTATGAAGCATGAACAGTATTTTTTAACATATTTTATTTTTGTATATTTATTATTCAGCAGAGGAAACCCTAAATCTTAGAAAATACAAATTAATATTGCAACATTGATATGAATGGTCTTGGTGTAAAATAAGTGCTATAAATGCCATATGACAGAGGTTGAGGTCAAACCTTCATAAATTGTTATTTAGATGAGGAGAAGGGGTCTTAATTTCATTTTTAATTGGAGATGTTGACAAACAGAACATGCCTTCAGCATTTCACGTTTTGATGAATTTCAGCTGCACTACTAACCAGTGCTGTCCCTGACCAAATTGAAAAATGATATTTGAAGACCCCCCCCCCCCACCCACCCACCCTAACCCACAAACCTCTCCCCACCCCAGATGTATCATTAAAAAAATCACTGTATAGTGACATACAGTTGCTTTTTGTATCTCTGCTTCTGTCTCCTTGAACCCCAGTCGGCCTCAGCAGATGGCCGCTCATACTGAGCCTGGTTCTGCTGGAGGTTTCTTCCTGTTAAAAGAGTTTTTTCTCTCCACTGTCGCTACAAGCATGCTTAGTGTGAGGGATTGTTGAAGAGTCAATGAGTCGATGCAATCAACTGGTTTTCCTTAGATAGAAAGCTTTGAATCAATTTGACTGGGTGATCTGGTGACATGTGTTGTGAATTGGCGCTATATAAATAAACTGAAGTGAATTGAAAATGGACATGCCATGTATATAGACCCTTATTAAAAAGACCAAATACATACAGCCTTTAACCTGAAATTATTAAATATTAAATAAAAAACTTCAACCTGAAATAAATGAAACATTTAAAAAAAATGTAAAATGAAATAATTAAATAAATAATAAACAAAAAAAAAATCAACCTGTATTCCTATTATTAATGCAAATGCTGCTACTATTACTAGCACCACCACTACAATTAGTACTGGCCTTTTAGTTCTACTTCTACTAATACTCACAAACAGTAATCCTAATGCTATCTATTATTATATTTTCATTATTGATGTTTTTGTATTATTAATATGCTCAAACTGCAGTTCTATCAAAATATAATTCAGTATAGACTGTTATAAAAAATCTTATCTCCTCAGCTATGATCGGCATGCTGTGGGAACACCACAACTGGGTTAACTCGCTATATTTACATGATACCATTGAACGCAACATATAGACATCAACACACCAGTTGTAGTCGGCTCTAACAAGTCAAAAATATGCTGTTAACATTCGATAAACATGGCGTAGCAAAGGTAGGAGGGATTCGAACTGGTAAAAGAGCAAAACAATAAAGCACACTTATTATGCCCTGGCTTCCTTACATGTTACTCTCCTGTCAGAGCTCAGAACAGAGTACCCAGTATTCAAGCAGACAGCCAGTATGACATCTCAAAAAGCGTTAATTTAAAGTGACGGATCAGCAGTAAACAGCTAGGGCGTTTAAGTCAGGAACCTCTGCAAGGGGAAAACACAGGTTAGTGACCACGTCAATCTGGGGGAGGCTGATTACAAACGTGTGAGTCCCTAACCTGGTCTTAAAGTTCAGTCCGTGCCCAGAGGACGAAGATACGACGAACACTGCCCAGAGAGTCCCATACACTGAAGCCCCGGAGACTGGAGAACAGGCAGGAGATCTGAACCGAGCAGATAAAGGAAGGCAGGATAATCCAGAGGGCGAAGCCAAAGCCGGTGTCGAGAAGGTGCTCAGGAGTCTGGGCCATAAGATAAAAGATCTGAAGAGGTGCCAAAGGGAAAGCCAGGATGGCGTTAGGAAGCACTTCCAGGTTCAGTAAACAGAATCCAGCAGGAGTCTGAAGACAGGTCAGGCAAACACACCAGAATGGGAACAGACAATTTCAGAGGTGCGAAGGCAGACTGGGTCAGCATCAGGCAATCAGAAAACAATAATACTAACTAGAAAACTCTCACCAAGGGCTTGAATAATTTGGAACTGATGACTGAGAGAAGAGAGGTTGAATAGAGGCTTGAACAGGTGAAACAGATGAGCAGTAATGAGAAACTGGGCGTAGCTAGGCAGCACTAATCCAGGGTGATGGTGTCTCCAGATATGTAGTGGTTGGGGGACAGAGGCCATGCAGATTGCCAGCTAGGGGTTAGAATCAGCTTTTTTAGCCAATGGGAAGAGAGCCAAATGCGCATTGTTAACCAATTAACCAATGTTTGAAAAACATGTTAACCCAGCATTTTTTGGGGGTTAGGGTTAGGGTACATACTTAGATATGTTTGGATATTTAGCTATATATATTTTAGACCACTGCTCTCTTTTATAGAGTGTAGTCTTTCTAAGATGGCAAAAGTCTGATCGCTTTGTCTTAACAAAGTTTTAGAATTAGTCACTCTTTTATGAAATGAAATGCTGTCAGAGCTTTATATATATATATATATATATATATATATATATATATATATATATATATATATATATATAACCTGCCTACTGCTTTTTATTAGCCACTGGTTTAAAGTGGCTAATAAAAGTTGATATATCTAACCTCAAGGTGCCTCTCCATCTGATTGTAGATGCAGCGTTAACCAGAGAGCAAGGAAACTATGGCTATTTTGATATTTGCAGCATCAACGTCACCACTGCCAGGTTTGAACATGCTATTGAATCTCATTGATAACACTTATTAATACTTTTTTTGCCTCAATCGATTCATGCTGTTTAATTCTTTTTAAGGTTGAATTGTTATTATGCAGCATGCGATCCCTCCCCAACCTTCAGCTGTGAACTCTTCTCGAATGGGAATTTCCTTGGAAAAGCAACTGACAAATCTTGTGAATATTTCACTGTCCCACGGCCAGCTACTAAAACGACTTACACCTGTATATTAGAAAGGAAGAAAACGCAAGAAAATAGAACAAAACAGGTATTGTTCAATCAAAAGAAAAACAACACAGGTTAGTACTTAATATTAATTAATATTAATATATTAATATTGTATGTGTTTTTCATATATTGTATTAAAGACTGATGGCAAGGGTGAATCTAGAGGGGTGGCCAGGGGGGCCATAGCCACCCCTAGACAGTCATTGGCCACCCGTATGGCCACCCCTACAAGGTGATTTGTGGTTGCCTCTGGGATGTAATTCAATACCCCATCATGTAAAATTTTCAACGTGGAGATTTTAATGCTGGTATATCAACTGAAATGAATAGAAAATGCTGGAAAAAAAAAAGAATTCACAACAATATAGTACTAGAGATGATTAATACAGGATGTTTGCTCTTTTCTGAAACAGGTTTTGGGTTTTATAGGGAGGAGTTTGTCTCTGCAGTCACCTAGGAATCTTCTATGTAATTAAAGATAAAGAGCATTTCTCCACCCATTTAATGTATATATTATGTTGTACCGTAAATCCATATAGGCTTGTCCCGATCCGATCCACGTATCGGATCGGGACGCCGATATTGGCAAAAAAATGCGTATCGGCAAAGCATGTAAAATGCCGATCCAGACTGCCGATCCAGTTTTAAAAAAAAAAATGCGGTCCGTATTTTCCAGTTTTGCCGATTGAAACGATCCATTCCACTATTTTGCGCCAGTGTTCCCCTGTTTTGCATTTTTATTAAAACTTACAGTAATACTTGCACCTTTAACTGTTTACGGTTTTACTGCTCACTGTGCAATTTCAGATTGCTATTCATAATTTTGTCCAGTTTGTGTTTATCTCTTAATAAACAGGTAAGTTTGTTGTTACCAAGCATTGTGTTTTATTCATTCTCACCTAATTTAGTTGGCTAGATGTTATCAAGAGTACTAAAACCCTTTTCAACATGAGTCTTACAACTAAGGCTAAATACTTTAACTTAAACTTAAATACATGCTCGGATAGGCTGGTATCGGCCAGTATCGGTATCGGATCGGAAGTCCAAAAACAATATCGGTATCGGATCGGAAGTGCAAAAACCTGGATCGGGACATCTCTAATAGGCTTGTCCCGATCCGATCCACGTATCGGATCGGGACGCCGATATTGGCAAAAAAATGCGTATCGACAAAGCATGTAAAATGCCGATCCAGACTGCCGATCCAGTTTTTAAAAAAAAATGCGGTCCGTATTTTCCAGTTTTGCCGATTGAAACGATCCATTCCACTATTTTGCGCCAGTGTTCCCCTGTTTTTGCATTTTTATTAAAACTTACAGTAATACTTGCACCTTTAACTGTTTACGGTTTTACTGCTCACTGTGCAATTTCAGATTGCTATTCATAATTTTGTCCAGTTTGTGTTTATCTCTTAATAAACAGGTAAGTTTGTTGTTACCAAGCATTGTGTTTTATTCATTCTCACCTAATTTAGTTGGCTAGATGTTATCAAGAGTACTAAAACCCTTTTCAACATGAGTCTTACAACTAAGGCTAAATACTTTAACTTAAACTTAAATACATGCTCGGATAGGCTGGTATCGGCCAGTATCGGTATCGGATCAGAAGTCCAAAAACAATATCGGTATCGGATCGGAAGTGCAAAAAACCTGGATCGGGACATCTCTAAATCCATATAAATGGCACTACTGTATAAATATGCGCATATTTTTTATTAGCAAGGACCCTAATGATAATCTGATCTGTCTTCAGTGATTTATTTGTAAAATATGGATGTTTTACGCATTAATTTTTCTGATGGTTTATTTTGATCAGTATAGACAAAAGATGTTTTTGACACCTTTCAGTGTTCAGCCACCTCTCCGGGCACATTGGCCCCTGCAAGACCACATTTCTGAAAATCTTCTTGAACCGCCACTGGTTAGGCACCATGCTAATGTGGCCATCTCTGGAAATCCTTTAGCCACCCCTTGGCCACCCCAGAAATGTTTTCCTAGAACCGCCACTACCGATGAGCTGTCAAAATAAACATTATTATTATTTCGTTTAAATGCCATGTTTTGTTGCTTAGCCGTCATAAAGATGAACTGGATTTAAAGGCTTGAGTTTCACATAAGTAATCAATTCACACTTTAGTTGAAAACTCTGAAAACCTGACTTTGGTGGTCTAAACACTTAAGAATTGATTTAGACTCGTTGCCTAAAGACTTATGATCCACAGGCCTTTGTGTTCGGTTCTCAATGATTTTTGTATTTATATCCATTCTTTCAGACATGTGTATTTGTTAGTTACCTCCTACATTTACTTGAGTAACCTTTAAATAAAAACGTACCTCAGGAGTAGTTTCACTTCACAAGTGTTTTTACTTTTACTCAAGTAAAATGATCATGACGTTTTGCTACTGTTCTTACTTGAGTATAATCCTTGGCTACTCTATTCACGATGAGTAACTTTCCTGAAGCAAAAGAAAAAAATCATATTTTAACATAAAATGCACAAGACAGAGGTGATTTTAGTATTATTTTTTGTTCAATTCAATTCAGTTTTATTTTTTTTTTCCTCTTATTTTTTTCAACTTGTTTTTCCAGAGATGGTGTAATTGTTGAGGGCAGAATCCATATCATGGGAGCTCAGAAATGACCCCACCGCCTGCTTCTTTGCCATACCTGAAGTCCGGTTACACACAAGTTTTTTTTTTTCTAAATAAAAGCGCCCACATAGTATTCCGTTCCAAAGAGATAATAGATATGTTTTCCTTTGTGTGGTCGTCTAACAAAGTCATCTAACTCATATGTTAGATGACTGTCTTTCGGCACAACCTGGATGTGTGCTTCAAGTAGTTCCTCTCATATGTGTGAGGTGTTTCGCAGCCTAGGCACCAATATTTTGGACTCAATCTGCTAAGAAAAATAGGGTTTTGCTTTGATACATCATTTGAAATAATCTTTTAAAGAAAAAAACAAACAAAAGCTAGAGTTAAGGCAAGGAACCCCAAAGCTTCCCAGAGGAGACACAGATTGCTGGGATCGAAATCTATTAGCAGAAAATGGTTAAACAAAAAAAAAAAAACATTAAAAAACAGCAAATGGGAAAAGATAATTTGGGAGATCTACAGTGTGAACAAATTATTTTTTTCTGGGACATGTCACCAAAAAAGGGAGAAAATATTGTAAACATGACAGTAATCCTAAATAATAATAGAAACCTGACTGATCAATATCCTGTTGTCACTCATCTTCTCTTTTTTACTTTTACTTTTTACTTTCTTCTGTTTATAAATTGTAACATAAAAAAATACTTGTCTGTAAGCAAGACTGCAGTAGATCCAGAGATGGCAAAAGTACTCACTTTCCGTACTTGAGTAAAAGTACAGATACTTGTGTTAAAAAATACTCTGGTAAAAGTGGAAGTACTGATTAAACTTCTTTACTCAAGTAAAAGTAACAAAGTACAGGCTTGTAAATTTACTTAAAGCTACAGTGTGTAATAATTACAGGGATATACAGTCAGAAATGTAATATATTATACATCACTATGTTATTTATCATCATCTACGAGCTCAGCCTCTTAACCTTAATATTTGCGTTGCCTTAGAATTCGTTATTTATAATTACATAGGAGCGGGTCTCGCAGCCATGGAGGCAGACATCTTTGCGCTACGGCAGCGCAGAGCCAACAAACTAGCGATTGCGAGATCGCCCATTCTGGGTATATTTATTATCTTAAGTCTACATGAAATCTATACCCTACACAGACTAATGAAATACTATCTGTAAAATTATCTATGTAAACAAACCTCATCACTTGAGAAGGTAGGTGATGCGGACGTCGTGGAAGACATTTTGTCCCGTAACGCTCGCCGTACTGTTGGGGGGGAGAAGCGGTGGGGGGGAGATGTTCATGTTGTTGCGGTCTGCAGTCTGGACGTTAGATGTTGCTGAAAATTACACACTGTAGCTTTAAAGTATAAAAGTAAAAGTAGAAACCACTTATTTCATGCCGTTGCCTACATTTTAAATGGATGTCTGCCAATAGGACTAGATCTCCGTTTTGTTCATTTTCAATCATCTCGTCGTCCATGCTACTATGCTAACGCCACCGCCACCAAGCTGCAATGATTTGCCGCCGATGAATACCGCCGAATCTGTCGATTCATCTTGTAGTGGTGCGTCAAATGCAACGTAGATTCCCATCCAATTAGATTGAATTTGGTATTGATGACGTGAAAAATAATAACGGTGACTCCATTGAAATGATTCAAAACTAAAGTAACGAGCCAAATTTTTAAAATGTAAGGTGTAGAAAGTACAGATATTCGCGTAAAAATGTAAGGAGTAGAAGTAAAAAGTCTCCATAAAAATAAGTAGTAAAGTAAAGTAAAAATATCATAAAAAATCTACTTGAGTACAGTAACGAAGTATTTGTACTTCGTTACTTCACATCTCTGAGTAGATCTGAGTTCAACACCTAGCTTGCCAAAAAAGGAGAATTAAGAGTCACCGTTAGTTGCATGCAATAGTTTTTCAAGTAGTTTAACTTCTTAGAATAGATGCCCACTTAGATTTTCTACATGATTAATAGGCAGTCTTAGGCAGTAGTCAGACCACAAGACTTTATGCTCAACTCTGGGCTTTCTTTCCTGCATGGTCATTCACACTTTTTTTTTATATATTAGCGCCATCAGGGCAATTTGAGAAGTTTATGACCCTAAAGAAACCTGTATGCACAGAAGGTGAATATAGACATCAAACAGCAGGATTCAAAATACCTCATAATCCCAAAAGGAAATTAAATATTGTAGTAAATCATTAGCTTTTTCTCCATGTCATGATTTAATTCTAAGGTTTGACCCCAAGATGCAGAAAGCCAAACAGAGAGACAGAGTTTTAAAAGTTTAACAGGTTTATTAAGGAATATTGTGGTGAAATCTAGTGCTGCTCTGAGCACTAGGGAGTGAGTCCAGTGTTGCTCTGACTGCTGCTCAACAGGGACTGAAAGGTGAGGGGA